GCCATCTCTGGTTTGGGTGGAAACGCGCTGTAGCTTTTAATAGCAGCCCCCATCCGCTTTGCTGTAGTCCTGCTGGACCAGGCTGGTCCCCCCCCAACCAAGCTGGTCCCCCTGGACCAGGCTGGTCCCCCCCAACCAAGCTGGTCCCCCTGGACCAGGCTGGTCCTGCTGTAGGGCCCCGGGGGAGCACCAGATCAGGATGGCAGCAGAACGGGGCTCCTCCATGTACCCTGCCTAAAACCCAGGATGGCCCTGGATCAGAATCCTGGAACCTGGACAGGGACCTGAAACCTGGACAGGGGCCTGCAGCTGCTGGGCTCGGAGGGGGGTGAGAGGGCTCCAGACCTTATCTGGGTCTTCAGGATGGGGGTGTTTCTGCTCCACTAACACGAGGGAGACCCTCTTTTGGCCCCCTCAGTGGAGTTCTGTCTGGTGTCCAGCCGGAGGACTGACCTCAGCTGTGAGCTAAGCAGGAGTTGCTCAAGGCCAGGACCTCAGCTGGACCCCCCCACGTTGTTCGTTAAGTACAGGCAGTCATGTCCGGCTATGAGCCCCTCACGTCTGTCTGGGTCCTCCATCACATTAATACCAGCTACTCAGGCTAAACTCTGTGTATGGACACGATTCATTTAGTGGCTGAATTGTTCTGCTAACATGTCCGAACGGCTTTGAAACAGAGAATCCCTGATTTTGAAGTTGGGTTCTTATAGTTCAGCCGTTCCCTTCTAGTGGATGAGCCCCAGCTCCCGGTCTGGAGTGGGGGTGGAGGGCAGTGCCAGGGTGGCTGTCATTTCTTCATTTATTTGAGTTGATGGGAAACAGATCAGGTGTTAACCTATAACTATTACATAACAAAACGACAGAGTGATGCAGCAGCCCCTCCCTCCAGTGGGGCTCTACACCGGGGGGTGAGGTCGGGGGGGTTTGGTATCCGGTCAGGAGAACAGGAGCATGGACTGGCTCTGTTTACTGATGACCTGAGGGTTTCCTTTGGCTGGCCGTCAGCAAACCAAACTCAACTCAACAAATGGATCTAGTTGGAGGATTTTCAGTCACGATATGAATGAGTCCAGATCTTCCATGCTTCAATTAAATCTGGATTTATATTAAGAAACCTGAAAAAAGGAAAAGCCTGAGCGGTGTGTTGGAGATGTGGTTTTCCCCCATACGGGGAGTAGATCCTCAGAGGGATGCAGCCGTCTTACCTATCAGAGACACAATATCCCAAAGAAACGGTTTAAAATGAGTCAGAATGCAGCCCACCGACTCTTTTAGCTGATGTTAACACACACACCATGAAAAGACGTCCAGAGAGCTGCTGGTTTTAATCCCACAATGGGACCTGGGCCCCCGTGGCCTGTGTGGGCCCCTGAGGCTGGAGGACCTGGGGGGCTGCAGCCCCCCCGCCTGGTGACGGGCAGCATTGCTCTTCAGAGTAGAGGTTTCTGCCTGGAGAGCTTTAGCTTGACTCCACCTCCTCTGGGGGGGGGGGGGGCCTTTATGCCCCACTGCCCGGGCTGTGTGGGTCTGCCTGGGCCCCAGCAGCCAGATGTTGAAGCAGGGCTGCAGCATCTGGAGCTCAGGAACATGGAGGAGCAGCCAGCAGGAACAGGAGATTCCCACCACTCAGGATCACAGAAAAGTAAAGTCTGATGTTAAGTGGATGACTTCCCGGCCAATCGG